GCAGGAATAATTCTTTTATTTCCTAGACTTAGGATAGCTGACATACATGTTCCTTAGTTGCACTTTTAATCATTGCAAATAGGAGGAGATAAAAGTATAACCTAACAAGCCAGGTAGCGGTGCAGTCTTTGCCCTTTCTTTTACTAGTAAGTGATCTCAGGAGTAGCTGGGTGTATGCTGCTGCTTATCTGTTAAGATCATGGACCTTGAGGCCAGATTGCCTGGGTTCGAATACAGGAAGCCCAAGTTTCAGTTCTGCCTCCTACATTTCCTAGCGTTTGTGACTCAGAGCAAAGTGACTTAAATTCTCTGGGCCTCATTTTTCTCATCTGTAAAATGAGACTAGTAGTATTCTTCATAGGGCTGTTATGTGGTTAAATGAATTCATGTCTGTAGGCACCTGAAATAACAGCACCTACAACACAGTAAGCACTAAGTATTAGCTAGGTTGTTAGTTCTAGTGCTTCTGGTTTTCATTTCTTACAGTTACAAAAATGAAATTAGTTAGGATAATCCTTAAATTTTTATTTTAATGAAAATTCGAATAAGGAAAAAAGCAACATCAAAATAAGTTTCCATAGTGCACATGTGCTTGCCATAGAGACAGAAAGCAAGAAATCACCCTCCAGGGGGGATGGCCATGCTGCTATCTCTACAAACTCTTGATTGTACATAGCAATGGTAATGTATCCAGATTTGTTTCTACTATCATGGTCCTAAGATACTAAGGAAAAATTCAGGACTAGTTAAAAGTGAATGTGGAGGGACCAGCAGTTAGCATAATGACTATGTCATTGGACTCTCACGTAGTCGACCATGGTTCGTGTCCCGGACCCAGTGGCTTAAAACTCACACCGGGCGCATGTGCGTGCGTGCCCAAGATCCCGAGAGGAATACGGAGGAGAAGGGATGTGGCATGACCATCCTCCCTGGGGGGTGATTTCTCACTTTCTGTCTCTCTGTTTCTCTCTGTCTGTCTGGCAAGCGCATGCGCCCTATATCAAGAACATCTTAAAAAAAAAAAAAGTGAACGTGGAGTTCATAAAAGTGTTTTAGAAAAAGACAGGGTCTAGCGGTAAAATTTCACTGTTTTACAAAGAGACAATGAACTGGGAAGATTGTGGGGAACTGAAAGTACAAAGCAGAGAAAAAAGCATTTATAAGGTAAAGTAAGATAAAAATATTTCGGAATTAATTTCCACAGAATCTTGGAAATAGAAAAAGAAAATTTCTATCAATAGGAATGCTACTAAAAACCTTATGGTTAGATATAGAAACTTCTGGAACCTGGTGGATAAACTAAAGAGAGGGACTGAGGAAGAAGATATTCACTTTTCCATAGATCTTTTATTTTTTGAAACTTTGGAAATACAAAGTTTATAAAATCTTGATGATTTGAAAAAAGATGCCTCACTAGTGATGTGCCAATTATACTTTAAAAGTTTATAAAATGAATTAGCCCCAAGATAAAAATCTAACTTTTGATTATCTTTGGATTTTAAATTCCTGACGTATTTAAAATTGATATGAACTCCTAAAATAATGTGAAACAGGCCCAGCTGCAGTGGTGTGTGCTGCTAAGACACTGTGTTCCTCAGACTGCAACCCCTGGGAGACTTCGATTCGATTCCCATCCAACCTAAAGGCTGGGGGCAGTGGTTTGAGTCTGCAATCCCAGTGACTTGGAAGGTTGAGGAGGGAGGATCATGACACGATGGGGCCCTGTCTAAACAAAGAGCCAGGCATGGTGGCACACAACTGTAGTCACAGCTACAGGAGCTTAAGGCAGGGGGATCGTGACATAGTGTGACCCTATCTAAAAAATTAACAATGTGAAATAACCAGAAACCATAAATACTACTACCTATTTCTGTTATGTGATGGAAATAGTTGGATGTGTGCAGTTACCATTAACTCACCAGTCCATTAAAGAGTTGATGGGTTTCACCTATTCTGTTCATGTATTTTCCTCCCCAGATGAAGGATTAAACCATGAGTGCAAACTCTGCAGCCAAACCTTCGACTCCCCTGCCAAACTCCAGTGCCACCTGATCGAGCACAGCTTCGAAGGAATGGGGGGTACCTTCAAGTGTCCAGTCTGCTTCACAGGTAGGAAGACTCTTTCAAAAACAATTCTCGACAGTTTTAAGGCTGCATCATGTCTTTCCTACCAAAGCATACTTCCCACTGCGATGGCCTTTTACAGATAAGACTTCAGTTCAATTTGGGGGGAGATGTTTGATTTCTGCTGATTAGCATTATTGATTACAGCCTACTTACAGGCTCAACTGGGCAGTGAGGTTAACTGTCAGGATGAAGAAATGGCATTTCAGGTTCTCTCTGAAGTTTGCACTTTTCCATTCGGAAAATGACATCCATGTTGTGTTCACTTTTCTGTCTCCATGTTAAAAGGTTACCAAGGCTAAGGCCGCCTGCACAATACTAGGTTTTAATCACAAGACGTTCGGCCCAAAGTGCAGCTGTTTTATCAACCCATCAGTTACTTAAATATGGAGCATTTGATCACATGCTCCAGAAGAAATAAAAAGATATTACTGAAACTCTCCCCAAATTATTTGAACCGGGAAACAGATTAGAAGAGGCCTTTATAAAATTGGATTTTAAAAGTACAGTTAAGGGAACCAGCAGTTAGCGTAATGGCTATGTCGCTGGACCTCTCACGTAGTCGACCGCGGTTCGTGTCCCGGAACCGGTGGCTTAAAACTCACAACCGGCGCGTGTGCGTGCTGCCCAAGATCCCAAGATGACAATGGAGGAGAAGGGATTGCGGCGTGACCATCCCCCCCTGGGGGGTGATTTCTCGCTTTCTGTCTCTATGTCTCTCTCTGTCTGTCTGGTGAGCGCACGCACCCTATAATGAAAAAATCTCTCTCTCAAAAAAAAAAGTACAGTTAATATAAAATTACCCTTTTAGGAAGAAGCTTTTACTAGACACTATAGTTCTATAGTTTTTAGTACTTGCCCCCCCCAAAAAAAAAAAGTAAATTCAAAACTGTCATTTGAAGCCCAGGGGGTTTTGAACTATGTTCCACACATTTCTGGTACTCCTTCAACAATGACAAATTTATTTTTGAAAATCCTTTGTGATTATTTTGCATGTGTCTCAGATTCAGTGGTCAAGCTCCTCAAGGCTGTTTTCTTTATTTGTCAGGGGAAACAATATAGATAGATATAGATAGATATCCTTCTCTCAAAATTGACTGCTTTGTTTGCAGAGCAAAATTTCAAACATTGATTCTTTACCTTCACTGCATTCAACCTGTATATTTCTATCCTGTAATAAAAGAAAAGGAGAAGGGTCATGTCTGTTGCACAGTTAGCATGAGTAGTCCCCTGGGGATGTTGATGGCTCTCCCTTCATTTGCCTGTTTGGCTCCTCTGTTTAGTAATTCTATCAGCCACTCTCCTTCCTTCTTTTAGAATGCTTTATCTAGTTTTTTCCCTCTATGTTTTCATTCTTAGAAATATGTTGTTATGTGTTTACCATCAGTGGGACATATGTTAAAATACAAAGAGTTCAGAGTCTGGACTCTTGATAAAAGCCCCTAATAAGTCTTCGTAGAGAAGAACTAGATCATAAGTCTCCTCACAGTTAAGACCCCTAGTAAAAGAGCTCTTTCATGTTGTAGCCAGAGCCTCATAAAATGTATACAGTTATATGGAAATTAGTTGCAAATCTTTATAAAAACCTCATTCTTTCTGTGGATGTAGGTAAAATGACAAAAATGTATTCATCATGAGTAGTCTGTGTTCTCTGTGCAGACAGACCTGAATTGTTTTAGGGTATCTTGAAGTAATTTAGAAATAACAATTAAAAAAAATAATAAACCTTCCAATATAAAGCACATTAGGTGGGAGAGGAAATCTGAGCAGTTTTTAAGGTAATGAGAAATGTGATTAAAATGTATGACTCACAAGAACAATATTCTAATATTTTAGGTTGGCTGGCAATTAGAATAATTTTAATGATTAGAGTGGAGTCAAAGTCAAATGCCAACATCTTTAATAAATCCTTTCCCTGCCTATACAGATTAATATTGTAGATGCAAACTTTTTTAGGTCACAGTGCACCAGGCATCCATCAGAAGTCAGTTCTGCCAACCCAAACACTGCCTCTGGCATATACAATTTAATTATTAATAGTATGTCTCCTAGGTAAACTGTTACACAGTCTTAGGGCCTTGTTTTGTAGTCATTAAAATTGAACATGTTTATATTATTGAAACCCTTGCATTCAGTGTGTAGGCTGAGTTGATCTTAAAGTATCCAAAGAGAATTTACCTGCCGTTCTGTTTCACATTTATAGACAGTGCCCCAGAGTAGCTGTGGGATATAATTTTTAGCATTAACACATTTAAATAGAGAACTGTTTGCTAGCTATAACTTTAGGCAAATACAATAAACACAGTTTTGGCATCTATGATTTCTTAACCTGTGGGTTGCTGAGAAACAGGAGTCATTTCTGTTGAGACAGAGCTGTGCATTTGACAATTTTCGGCTTTATTTTTTAAAAGATTTATAGGGAGCAGGGCCTCCATAAACCTTTACTTTGGAGCTGTTTGGGTTGAATTAGGTGCTTGGTAGAGTGCATCTTAACAGAAGCCAGAGATCCAACTATGAGCAAATGAGACACGGTTTCCCCAGATCTCAGCTAGTAGTTCGTACCCAGGAGGCGTGCCATTCAGCCTTCTCTGTCTGTTCATGGGGAGTCATCAACTGAGGGCATTTCAGAAACAAAATAACCCAAGTTCACCATTCTTGTATCATTTCAGTGTTTGTTCAAGCAAACAAGTTGCAGCAGCATATTTTCTCTGCTCATGGACAGGAAGACAAGATCTATGACTGTACACAATGTCCACAGAAGTTTTTCTTCCAAACAGAGCTGCAGGTAATGTCCTCATGGGGAGGACCGGGGTTGAACTCCATTGCTATTCTTATAGGAAACAAGGGCATTTTAAATCTGGATTCACAGTATCACTCACCCTGGGCCACCATGATGCTTTATGTGTATTGGGGCAAAGGGAAAATTAGAGACTGGATTAATAGACACCAAAGTAATTTTGCCTCTGGCTGCTGTCAATCATAAAAAGAACTAGAACAGACCTATAATTGGACCTTCTGACCCAGAGTGATAGACTTAGGGGTCAGGTTTATTGGACTGTGAGATCATTCACCTCACTTGTCATGGCTCATTCTCCCAAATCCTGTTTTATTCATGTTCTGTTCCCACTGGGCTCCAGGCTGGATGGATGTCCAGGTTATTGTTGTCCTGAGGGGCTTAAAATTGGAAGGGAGAAGAGAAGAGAAGGAAGAAACTGTTCTCTGTCCAATATGTATTTCTTCCATTTAATGGAATAGAATAATTATCACTTACCAATGGCCTTAGATTGGAAATTTTAACAACCAGGTCATTGGTTTAGTCTTGGTTATCTCACTCACTAGGTGCATGACTGACATTTGTCCCTAACTTTTCTAAAACTCAGATAGGAAGAAATAATAAACAAACTTTATACTCACCAGGTTGTTGCAAAGTGAAAATGAAATTAATGGATGTGGATGTAAGGTATAAACTATAAAATGTCAACGTTAGGTTATTTTTATTATTCTTAACAATGGGCTAGTAGTTAAAAATATCAAAGACCTGGATCCTATTCCAGAAATAAACTTCTTGTAAAAAGAACAAGCAAAAACAAGAAAACATTTTCTGTTGTTACTTCATATGAAAAATGGGTATAATACCTGATCCTCATTTTTCTAATGGAGTGATATATGAGACATGATTTTTGGCAATATGTTGGTACCCGTGGAGGAGAATGGAGCTGACTCAAGCTATTTTGTTATAATAAGCATTGCTATCAAAATAATTTAGTCTAAAATTAGGGAGTCCAGTTAATTTTGGCATTGAATCCCTGAAGAAGTAAAGAGGAACTGATCTGGTTGAGGCAAGGCTGAGGGACTCAGAGCCCACCCACTCCTCAGTCTTCCTTTCCACACTGGAACCTGGGGCAGCATGTGTTTTCTTGGGCTCTGGTGAAGCCAGAATTTATGTGAATTATGTGTCAACATAAGTTTATTTCCAGTTTACCATCTGAACTACCCTTCTTGACATGAACAAATAACAAGTTAAGGAGATGAAATAAATGTGTGACGGAATGGGTGAGCCCATTTAATTGTCATCATATGTCAATTGGCCAAAGCTAAAGTTGCTATCTTACCTTTTATCACTTCTAAAAATTCTATTCTACCACATCTACTTGTGAATTGAATATAGAAGACAGGCCTCATTAGACTATTGTTTTAAAGTTCATCCTATTAAAAGAATTTTTTAAAAATTCTATTTTTGGAGAGGTTTTTGCTATAGGGTGCATGCGCTTGCCAGACAGACAGAAAGAGACAGAGAGACAGAAAGTGAGAAATACCCCCCCGGGAGGAATGGCTACGCCGCAATCCATTCTCCTCCGTTCTCCTCTTGGGATCTTGGGCACGCACGCACACGCGCCCGGTGTGAGTTTTAAGCCACCGGGTCCGGGACGCAAACCGCCATCGACTACATGGGAGTCCAGCAACATAGCCATTACGCTAACTGCTGTTCCCAAAAGAATTTAAATTTCTGTTTGAAAAACTATTATATTCATACTGTAATAGATATCAAAGAATAAATAAGTGATTTTGGTTTTATGAACCTGTAAAAGATGTGGCTGGTAAACCTAGTGAGACTATTAATTATCATGTAAACTATGAACTATGAAGCTATTAGCTAATAGCTTAAAATCAAAGTTGTAGAAATTCTATGGAGACTATAGGGCGCAAGTGCTCGCCGAAAGACAGAGAGATCGAAAGCAAGAAATCACCCTCCAGAGGGGATGGCCATGCCGAAATCTCTTCTTCTCCATTCTCCTCTCGGGATCTCGGGCATGCACGCACACACGCCTGGCGTGAGTTTAAGCCACCAGTCCAGGACTCAATCCACGGTTGGCTATGTGGGAGTTCAGTGACATAGCCATTACACTAACTGCTGGTCCCTGTCCAAAATTCTTTAAAAAAAAAAAATTTTTTTTTTGCAGCCCAGCCCCATAGCCTAGGTTAAGGGAGACCGATCTCATATTATAGGCTATGGTTCAAACTCCAGCCTTGTTTGCTTAAAAAACACACCTGGGGAGCCAGCAGATGGTGTGGTAGTTAAAGTACTGGACTCCCATGTGGTCAACCACAGTTTGAGTCCCAGACCCAGTGGCTTGAGAGACACTGGGCATGTGTGCAGGCATGCCAACATCCCAAGAGGAGAATGGAGAAGAAGGGACTGTGGCATGGCCATCCCTTCTAGGAGGTGATTTCTCATTTTCCCTCTCTCTGTCTCTGCCAGTCTGTCTCTAGCTAGCACACAAAAACAGGTGCATGTGTATGCCTCAAATCCCAACAGAGTGGAGAAATGGAGAAGGGATTGTGGCATGACCATACCTCATTGGAGGGTGTTTTCTCTTTTCTCTCTCTGTCTCTTATTTTCTCTTTGGTAAGTGCATAAGCCACATGGCAATTAATTAAAATTATATATATATTTATATATATATATTGGCAAAACATTTACATTTTTCTATTGTATTAGAATTTAACCTGGTGATACCTTCAATGTCTTTCATTAAAAGAATTCAATACTATGGTAGTGGTGGCCTCTGGTCCCTTTAGAGCAGACAGAATTAAGCAATTAAACCATCCTTCAGAACTCCAGGATTCTTATGTGATGTGTTTTAAGATTTCATGGAACATATAGTTTTCCATCCTTTATACATTTAGTATAGACCAGTGGGTCTCAAACTTCTCAGGATGTCTTTACATTCTTAGAAATTATTGAGGATTACCAAAAGGCTTTGGTTTAAGTGAATTACTGTCTATCACTATTTCTATACTAGAAATCAAACCCAAGAACTATATTAAACATAAAAATACAAGCACGCATTCTTTCTATTAGCTTTCAGAGAGATATCACATATAATGTTGCCTCTAGAAAACTCCACCATACACTCTTGAATAATGAGAGTTTAAAGGACAAATAATGCCTAATACTATTATAAAAATACTTTTGATCTTACAGACCCCACAGAAGTATCTAGGCGAACACAGAGGTCCATGGGCCACACTTTGAGAACTGCCGTAAGGGACTTTTGGTACAGAACACACTTTTTAGGAGTCTTTGTGACCTTTGGAAGCATCCCTCAAAACATTTGATTTATTTGTTCAAATTGTGATCTGGACCAAACCAAGATTTATTCCATAATACAAAGCTGTGAGCATTATTTTTCTAATCTCACAACTAAGAACTATGTATATTCTATTTTGATCTGAATACTTGGGCTTAATATGTGCATCATTTGTTTCTCAGATAAGAGCAGCATTTATGGCTAGTATGTGATAAAATCACAAACTTGAGATGAAATACTTACTTTCATCAATCATCAAAGCTATAATTCATAGCATTGGAATATCTGGGCACATCTGTCTTCTCAAATCCCCAGTAATAGCAGTGACTTTGGTTTCAACATTAAGAAAAATGGATCAGAATTAACTTTACTTTTCCTGGTTTTAAAAGTGTTTTTATATTTATGTGTTATACCATAAGGGTTCGTGGTCCTGTGTGTTTGCTTTTGTTACTCAAATTAACTTTATACCTGAACTTAGAGGGTAGAATCAATGTAATTTAAAAATATTGATCACTTTTATTTCCTGTACAGAAAATGGGAATGGTAAGTACAAAAAACATGATACTTTTTTTTTTTTATTGCTAGCATAAGGGGGAAAATCACTGAAATTAATGTGACAGGCAAATAGTATCTATAACCAGAATAATGATGGTATAGATAAATGTAGCCACTTTATTTGCTTGTTGTAGTCTGTGCCTTGCTATGTAAATTTTAAACAACTTGAACTCACCTACTTTTTTATGCCACTAGAGTTCAGAAATAAGAAAGACTTTCCTTTAGAGAAACTATAAAGCTAAATGTCCACGAACTGCAATCCTATTAGAGATTTTAAAGTGCACAATTAATTTGACTCTTACAGCAGAGTAAGAAGAACAGGGTGAGTTTAGGATAAGTATTCAGAATTGCCCAGTAACATCACTATGGAGTGTCTTTCAATGAAACATAAACAATTTCATGACCGTAATAAGTAATTTGCATTTCCTCCACTCTATTTTAGACAGAAGTGCTTTGATAGGTATAACATTTATGTATACTATATAAAGAGAGGGAACAAGAACAATGTTAATGCAAGCTGCAGACCACCATCTACCGGAGAACCACAAAACACTTGGGAGAAAATGGAATTAAAGTATGAGTTTATTGTGAGGCAACAGGTAGCACAGTTGTTAAGGTGCTGGATCTCACATGGCCAACTCTGTGGTCTGAGTCCCAGATCCAGCCATCTGAAAAACACACCATGTGCGTGTGTGTTTTTCAAAATCCTGAGAGGACAGTGGAGAAGAGATTGCAGCATGGCCGTTTTCTCTGAAGGGTGTGATTTCTCACTTTCCCTCCATCTGTCTCTCTCCAGAGAGTACATGCCTCCTACGGGGGAAAAAAAAGAAGGCAAGCCATGCATACTTTTTTCATAATATGTATTTCCGTGAACTTCTTGAAGACCCTCTGTGTGTATGTGTGTGTGTGTATAAACATATACATATGTGTGTGTGTGTATGTGTGTGTGACTATATAAGGGATTACTTGTACACACACCACACCCAGCCTTCAAATCCAGACCTCCTATGTGGTCCTAGCCTGCAGAGCACAACATCTTACCACCACAGCTGAGCTGAAACCTCTTTTTCTATGAAACATTCAACTTTAGGACACACCTCTTGCCAGTGTTCTACCACCTCTAAATCTTCCTAACCAA